ATCCTCGTTTCGGTTAGCGCTCGGAACACGATTTCGGTCACGAAATTATGTCGCTCTGTACACTCTATGTGTTTGCCGTTAGTTTACATCCATCTATGATGCGGTCTGCGGTCTTTCGAGATAGCTGCCACTTATAATATTCGTTTGTTTGCAGTTTTCATTGTTTGAAGTAACTCGAAGCGGATTATAGATTATTACATCTATACTAGCAATATATACTTTAGCGATATCATTCAAATGCTAATATTAATAGAATATAAGAATTATTTTATACGCGAAGTTTGTATTGTAATAATATAATATTATGACAATGTAATAATATAATAACATAATGATATTGTGTATAATGTATATATAATGTATGTGATTATTTTTCATTGATATGTAAATGTCAAATTACCCACGTAATTAGACTTTCCTTTTATGCATATGTAACTTTCGAGAAAAATGTAAGATAATGTAAGGGTCCGAAAGAAAGTTCCAATAAAAGTTCATTTAGATCATACCGAGGACTGTAACGCTACCTCACGATAAGAATAATGAGAATTTAATCCTCCTACGATAGAAGAAAATTCTACTGGTAAGGGTAGATTCAATTAACGTACTTCTATTATGATAACCATCCCATGGATTGATGAAAAATTCATCAGTCGCATCGTTTTTACCGTCCTCGCGACGCTTGAATTAACATTGTGATTACTTTTCTCTTTATTTAACAAAATTCCCGGAGTATCTAGTGGTTCACGCGAGAACAGAGAAAAACTGGTGCACCAACCTGTAAACCACTAAGATATAATCTACTTATAAATTTAATTTCGTACATTTCATTCGAATTTGTACAGCGGGGATAACAAGGAAGAATTTTGTCCACATTATTATTTTATTTATGAGTATACTAGAAATGAAAAAGAAATAGTATATGACATAATCTGAAAATTTATTTTCTGATATAGTTTATCAATAAATATTTATGGTAATATTAATACGTAATATAAAATAATATCTTTATATTGATTACTTCTAATTAGCATCTAAGTAATACCAGTACTATATACTATATAGCATTCTTACAAATATTTATTGATGAACTCTGTCACAAAATAAATTCACAGAGTATATATATTCCATTTATTTTTCTACGTATTCGAAATATAATAATAATAATATAGCTTCTTCTCAAGTATATACCTCTATAAGTTTGTTCATTACTTTATCATTATCTTCGTGTTCCCATCGAATGAATTAAAACCGTAAAATATTGAATTTTTCATTGATTTAAGCTGATTGAGATTGATTTAAAGTCATTTAATACCGTAAGTAAATATATTTATCGAAAAATTGATCATACAAAACTGTCTTACTCCGGCTTAGAAAATTGTCCGCGTACAACTTTGTACTGGATAACCCGTTCCCCATATTTTACAATCTTGTACAATTTATGGGATCGTTTTAAACTCCGTCTAGAGATGTGAAATGCCTTAACGCGCACATAAATTTGCTTGCGAAGTATTGATAACGATTTAACGCTAGTTGCGTGATGTTAAACCGAACATGAGTTTAATGTGAATTTGATACTCGTTATTTCATTTAAGACACAATATCAAAAAAGTATCAAATTTAATGAACCTAGTGGAACGTTCTCGACATTCTGAAGTTACGATGCGAAATTCGGTGAATCGGTTGTAATTATTATCAATTCATAATACGTTAATGATACATTAATATTTGATCATACATAATATTAATAATTATATAATAAATTAACGTATAATTAATGTATTGTAAATTACAATGTATAATTCTGTGCAATAATGAATAAAATTAATATAATTCACATTGAAGTATTAGAATATACATTTGGTTATTTTTAATTTAATTAATATTATGACACAAAATATAACGTCTTTAATTGGATTAATAAACGTTACGTTAACTTCTGTATAAATGACTTTTTCGTATTTTTTTATGTTCCTTTCTAGAGAAAGAAAATAAAAGATCACTTGAATTTTATTAAAAAAGCAGATTTAATAGCTGATTTTATACCCTTTTGAATAATACGATAAACCTTGGATAAATTCTTTTGTTTTCGAATTATGGTGGGCTGAATGAGTAAAAGTTAAAGCTCCCAATGAACTGTCGGATCCGACAAAGGAGATCGGCCAGTTCAAACATGCAGATTTTAATAAAATCTGCCTCGAATATGGGCTATTGAAGAATATTCGACAATGATTTTTTTGTGGAGTCCCCGAAATTAACGGCAAAAATTTAATTTTATTAAATATATTAGAAACTAGTGTGGTTGGAGATAAATGTTTAACACAAAATTCTTCCTTTATTCACGAGAAACTATCTAAACAAATAAAAACTTACGTTAATATAACTTGACTGATTCAACTATATTTATTTATTTAAATATTGTATACATGCAAAAATATAGAATTCTTCTTTGTTTCCAGTAAATTTTTAATGACAAAATTAATCTAATGAGTGCAGTTATAAAGAAAATCGAAGAACAAGAGATAATAATCATGACACAGACTTTAAGCAAAATCTATCAACCCTACATATTACTCAATTCTCTTGAATTAAAATAAATTATCTTTCTGTTATCTGTTATTATACCCACTTTAGAGCAAACATAGAATACACCCCAACATATTTTGACATGCACAAAATTGACAATAAATTGGCATAATATTTGGTAGTACCTTGCTAGATCACTTTGAATTAATATTCTTTTAATTAACAAAATGTACAAATCATAAAATGAAACATACTGTTTTCCTTAATAAACATAAAATGTATCTATCATGCACAAATGTATCTTCATAATTAAATCATACCGGAAAAGTTTAATTGTAGTACTTCCAAGTAAATATAGACATAGAGAAATATAGAATTTTCTTTTTTCACAATAAATGATGGACAATTATCTCTGAAGTGCACAACTGGGAAAGAAATCATAGGGCAAGGAGTTAACTATACACAGAACCAAAGAAAGTTTTCAAGGATTTTTCACCGTGCACTGAACAATTTTACGTCTAACAGGGTTAACTGAATAATTGTTTGGCAAATCCGGGAGTGTATATAGATTATCCATTAAATGGTTTCCGCGGGTTCCTTTTACTGGACAGGCCGTAGCCTTTCAGGGTGTGCCAATAATAGCAGAATGATTGGCCCCCGCCGTCTGCTCTTATAGAGAACCCCCGAAGCATTTGTCGGTAACAATGCGCAACGTACTATCGCCCGGGTACAACCAGTCCGATTGGTCTGGCTCACCACGTGCTTTCAAACTTCGGCCTTAATTGTTACGTCAGTTTCGCCGGCTAACGGCGTTGCACTTAAGTCGAGAAGCTTCGAACACGTATCATGCTCCGGATTCGACGGCAGCCGCAAGCCACGCATATCGGATGCCGCATACAGCTCGGTCGATCGCGGCCATTTCTGCCGTCGAGAGACGGGATCTTGACTTCAAACTTGGTTGGTGGCAATGGAGGATGGTCAATTTTATTTGCTGTGATATTTCAACTTTTTCGGTTTTGAAGCGGTTGTTTCATCATGGAAAATATTTTTATTTGAGTTTATTGGAGACAATGCCAATTTAGAATGGATGCCTTTTTGAAACTATTCAGTCTTAGAATTTGGGCTTTTTTTTAGTAGAGAAGGTTGATTTATTGTGGAAAATAGTTTTGTTTGAATTTAATAGATAAACGTTTATAGATTGAAAGATTATACTGTAACACATGTTTACAACTTGATGTAGGTGCAACACTTTCTTTAAATACATTAACAATAACAATATTACCCGCATTTCAACAAATCATCTCTTAACATCAGGCGATCGTTATCTACATAGCATATAAAAAATACCAACACGTTTCTATTTTTTTTCATTCGTTGAAAATTTAAATAAATTTTTATTTTTTAAATATTCTATTTAAAAAACTGGAAATTTCTTGATTTTACATTTCAAACGTAGAAATTCTTTCTTAAGAGAGCCACACAGTATTTCCAAGCTACTAAGCGTCGTCACCAGGATATATCGAAATATCCAGTGTCATTAATCTAAATCCAGAGAAATTCTATGCTCGGGGATTTTTATGTAACCAGTATCTATGGTCCGTCGTGGGTATTACTGTGGATTTTGTCAATAGTACAACCTTCCTCTATAAATCTTCCGGCCATCCACTCGTGCCAGAAAGAATTTAGAATATATTCAAACGAAGTTTTCTCCGTGGAGCGTTGCTGAATACATCTCCCCACTGTTGCGCGAACTTTTTGGGTCGAAAAGTGACCAACTACGTTAAGAATTCCATCGCTAAGTGATTTAAATGAGCCGGATTAACATCAAGTTGTCACAGGGAAAGAATAAATTGACGCGGATTCCGTTGATGGAATAAAAATTCCGGGTAATCTAATAGCAGAATATTTCGTGCACAGATATTTTGATGATTTCACTAAAAATGCGATTTATCTCTTATTCGTGTCTTTTAGCATTCGACTGTATTATGAAAAATATATTCACAACCAAAGGTTAAATCAATTATACTAGGGAAACAATGAAGCCATCAAAAATACTGAAATTATCCTGAGTTAACTCGGATTAATAAATGTTAGTACAATAGAAAATTGATAAAATAAATAAAAAAATTATTATATTCTTCTGTTCATTAAATGTTGAAAGAAATTTAGTAATTTGTAAAGCTTGAATATGTAACTTGATTTGTATTATCGAGAAAGTATGGTGAATTGAAGCGCTTAATAGCGTCAACACACGTAACGACGCCATCATTCAATTTGGAACGATAACTACTGACCAAAAGTTTGGAATCGTTCTTTGAAACGATTGAAATGGAAATACATTGGATACGTCAACAAATTTAAGTGTTAAAATTAATTCGTAAAATTTATTTGTTGTTATTTTGTCAGAATATAATGAGAATAGTTCAAAATCGTTAGAATAATTTATTGAAAGAATATCAAATAATTAGTACACTTACTCAGCGACCACAGAAGATAGAAATTCCTCGAATGGATTCAAGTTGACAGTCGCATCGTAGTCCTGTAATAAATAATATTATTAGATACTGCATACTATACATAATTATTAAATTCTTATAACCTCTATTTAAGGATATATCTTTACGGAATGATTTACTTTAACAACTGCCTTTAAAAAAAACGCTAATCCTAAGAAACTTAATTAATCAATCAACAACTGAATTATCAATAAACAAATGAATAGCAGATGTAAAGTAATTCACATCAGTTCCTAATATAAAAAGAATTCTGAATCAAGTCTCCCATATTATTCTCTTCTCATTTATGAAAATGCAGAATTATCTCAGCTTTGCCATCCAAAATGGTCTAAAGATAATTTAATTGAGTAATAATTAAATGATTATTAAATAAACTAATTATTAACTAAACTAACTTATTATTAAGTAAATTAAATTATTATTAGATAAACTAAATTGTTATTAAATAAACTAAATAATTATTAAAGTAATTCACATTCAATACCATAAGAAGAAAGTTCTCAATCAATTTCCATGTTTCTCCCTCACAAAAACACCCACTCGCATGGTCCCCCTATTAAAAATGACCACGCACAGCATTCAAACCGCATCGGCCTGTTAATGTGAAGTTTAGGACAACTTCGGCAAACCAATTGAAAGACGATTTGCCCCGAAGAGACTTTTAATACGAATCGATAAAGTGACATTTCTAAAAGAACTCGTCGAACGTCCCCTTTTCCTGGTGGAAACGTATTATCTCTCCCCCTGTTTCCCGTCTTTTCTCTTTCCTACCCTCCCATCCTCATGGTCCACTTACTTACTTAACACGGGAGGCCAATCTAACGAATGACTGGCCCCCTACACCAGCCATCCACCAGGGTTCCTAGAGAAGCTAACCGTACTATAACCGAGCTTAGGCGCGCGTTTCCTCTATTCAGTCGAGCAATCAATCCTTTCGCTGTTGTCGGCGTTCCCATTAATTTTATACACCGCGGGGTCCGGCCACTGGCTGTCAGAAATCTCGGAGGAATCATTCTGAACTGTTTACAGCATATGTGTTTTAATTATGCGGCTTGGGGTCAACTTTTACTAATGTTACTAATGTTACTGTTAAAAAACTATAATTTTGATTATTGAGGACAATTTGTTTTTAAAAGGATGTGTTTATTTACTTTTTTGTTATGTGTGAAACTTGAAATTTTAGTATAGACTGATATACTTCATTGTGATTTGTTATTGAGTAACGAATAACACTACAGACGTATTTTTCATTGAAAATAGTTTTAGTTTAAGTTACGTCTAAATAACAAAACCCCATCTTGATTCTGCAAGATGTTCACTAATAAGATAACATTACCACTACAGAGAGTCATTTTGCATTGCGGCAGTATTACGGTATTGTCTTTGCGATATTGTTCGGTTTAAATCTTCCCCTGACAAGATACTATTGAGAGAACATAATAATGAATAGTCTGATTCAAAACTACCATTACGCGGAACGATGGACCACAATGGGAAGATAAATCCTCTCGAAGTTCGTGGAAGTTTTAACGGTGCACAATTGTTTGAAATCGACGAAACTGTGAAGACGTTTTGGATTTTGTAATAGAGTGTCAGCTCGATAAAAATGTTCTTCTCTAAATTTTGAATTCAATTTTAGAATTCGGAAATATAAAAGCTTTCGAATTTAACAATTTTAAAATATGAAAACTTGCAAGTTTGAAAGTTTAAACATTTGAAATTCTGAAAATTTGAAAAAATGAAAACTTGAGAATTTTAAAACTTTGAAATCTTTGAAATTTTTAAATTTTCTTTTTTAAAAAAATGTTAACATAATTAGATCTGGAGTAAAAAATTATAGTGTATTGACGAAACTTGTTCTATTTTATAGCTTTAGATTAACAGTGCGAATCTACTTAAGCTCTGAAAGAAGAAATAAATACAAAATATATGCCACAATCATTTCAATCCTTAATTATATTTAGACTATAGAATGAAAACAAGCATTCCCATTCACGCGTTTTTTAATCTATCTAATGAATGCTTACATTCACATATTTTCTGGGCTTTTATTCGCTTTTATTCAAAAATAGTTTTCTCGGCTACTTTTGTGACAGCATAGTCGGTCTCAGGTGCGAATTTAAACTTTCGTCGCTGTTTCGAGTAAAGCTGTTCAATTTTCCAGTAAATCGTCGCTGCTTAATACATCATAAGTGGAAGGTTAGATTCCACTGCAAATCCCATCGTTAAAACAGGTGTATATATCCATTTAATCTCTTTCACAGGATAATTTTACCTACCCGTTGAAATTTTTTTCGCGAAAAGACGCTCAAATGTCCTTACTTATTTTTTAAATAAAATTACAATTTTTATTCATAAAAGTAATTCATAAATTCCACTCGTAGACGTAACTTGCGAGGGAAGGCAATAATATTTTCTGCTTGCTGTACAGGAAGATTTTTAATAAAAGGTACTGCACAAGTAGGATGATAAAATACGAAGTTCACAATCCGGTTAATTTAAAAGTTTGTCATAAAATCCTACAATATTCCACCGAGATGGTAGATCTAAATGGATTTTAATTGCTCGTAGCTTCGTTTCTGTCATACAATTCACATGTATTAATAAATGAAAATTTATGTAATAAATACATCTGCATTTTACTTCGCCCTCGAGACTATTCAATGATATAACTAACGAATGTATATAAATAACGAAATTCTTAAAACTCTACTTCCACATTAAATTAATTCAATATGAAACAAACATTCTGCTATGTAACATGCGTGTTCCAATGGATTAATGGCGTGCCCATTTTTTTAGAAAGAAGATTAAAGAACCAACGCAGGAATAAATTATAATTTTTGTTGCAGCATGCGCGAATGTAACAAAGAGTTCTTGAAACGCTAAATCCCAGTTTGGTATCGCATTTTACATGGATTAAACACATCCGCTCATGATATCTGTTATTCTTCTAATCCTGTTAAATTTCCGTGGGGAAGAGAGAGAGAGAGAGAGAAATTTTCATATCAAACACGAGTGCACGACTTTATCTCGATCTTTTTACCTTATTTTTGGCGATAGAGGAGGTATGAAGGGGAAAAATGAAATGGAATTTCTGACATCTTGAGTTGAACCGGAATAACTGTACGGAATGCATCTCGCGTTGCATACGTCCGAAGATTGCGCACGCATTACAATGAAATACGTTTTTATACATTATCTAAATTACGCATGTTTCTCAAGCATGCTTCTCATGCTAAATATTTGCAGAAGTAAATGTCTCCTTTTAATAGCAGAGGTATTATACGAAGCTCGTTACAACTTGTATTTGTGAAGTATACTTAGAAATTCCATATGAAGATATATATTACTTTGAGCTCTTTGTTCATTTCAGTATATTTAAGTACCTATAATTTGTTTTGACATTCTAAGAGTTAGAGAAGAATTGTGTTATAATTACATTTAATAATGTACAAATAGAGGAAAATTATAAAATTAGAATTCTAACTACAGTTACAATCATTAACATTTCGAATTTTATTCAAACTACTTTACTGGATTGATCTTATAGAAATTTGCCTGATCAAATATCATGACCCTCACAATACAATAAACTATAAAATACTCCAGCACATATTACTAAAAAAATACTATTCAACAATTCACAAATCATTATAACGTCAATAACATAATCTAACTCTAAACATCAAGAATCCCAAATCCTTGTGCTTTCATATTCCTCAATCTCTAAATCAAATTTCCCTCGGATAAACTAAACATTTCCTCTAATATCTTTCCCAAACGTAACAAACAACATAACAAAACAAACTAAAATAATTAGTCCATTAGTCCAAACATTGTTCTGCAACTAGCTGATAATCAGTGGCCGCTGAAATGTTATCTTTTACGATATAAGTTGGCGCATAGAATTTTAGGGAAGTCGGTGTATATATTTATCAGGGACGGTTCCGTTTCAAGAACACGGCTCCCGCGGAAAGTCAACCGGGAACTGACGCGGCATAGTTCGCGAGTTGCCGCGACGCGCAGACGAAACGCAAACTGGCGCGCGTGTAAGTTAACGGCGAGATGCAGCCAGCACTCCAGGTTTCCTCGGCTGGCATCCATAATTACACTCTCAAGCGCGGTAACTGCGCTTCTCGTGTTTGAAATCATCGCAGAGCCATTGTCACAGCACCGGTGCCACGAAAATGACGACTGAAAAGCAAAACGCGCGTCGCAGCGCGGCGCGCGCCTGCGATCATGCCAAACCACCCCCGGGAATAAACTTTGCGAAGGTATAGCCGCCCATTTTGAAAATCTCACGCGGCGAATATTCGCCACGAGCAGTATACAGGGTGTTTCAGGTTTTAATGCTGAAACTTTGTTCGTATATTCTATGGCAGTAAATAAGAAGAGAATGTTATGTAAACATAGGCCACATAGAGATTTATTAAAAAGTTATACGAAAAATACGGAGCAGCCATTTTAAAAATCTTGTGCGGCGAACATTCGCATTCAGCTGTACATTTAATATGTATCTTTTCTATGGTGCTGTGTTTGCTAAACATTGCGTCGTGAACACAATTTTAGGGAAATATTTATGTCTATAGGATTTTTTGGTGTATTTTTTTTTCTAGTGCAATTTCTAACGCAATGTTTAGAATGTATTATTTTCTATAAACAAGGAGAATTGTTGTAATTAATATGGCGTTGTGAACGCAACTTTGAGTAAATGTTCTTTTCTACGAGCAATAACGAATATCAGTTAACCTAATAATTGAATGGTAGTAATGAGAATATTAGTTTCTTAATTTTCTACCTGACAACTTTCTCCTTGCAAAATGAACGAACACAATACTAAAATATTTGAGCTATAATAGTTTTACTTATTAAACTGTATTTTATACGTTGATCATTTTACGTATCACGACATACGTAATTTGAATTTGTAGCATAATCTATGCTTAACCGTCATGAAAACTTCATTACGTGAATGCATATGCGACTACACGTACCAGAAAGTAACGGATTTACGTGAGTT